GAACGCCACCTTTCCTTGTCGATCTTGTTATGCCACCGCAGCATCTGCGATGCGGTGGCATATAGCGATTCACTTGTGTGTTTGTGTGTGTGTGTGTGTGTGTGTGTTATATAGATTATATAGTGAACTTAACAAATCTTCTTGTGAAAAACCACTAGTTCAATTTCAACCAAACTTGGCAGGATTGTTTCTTGGGTAAAGGGCTTCCAAAGTTGTTCAAAAAATTTCATTCCATGCAGAAATCTGGTTGCCATGGCAACCAAAATGAATTATAAGAATAAATTTAAAAAATCTTCTTGTAAAGACCCAAAAGGCCTAGAGCTTAGATATTTTGCATAAGGCATTGTCTGGTAGACCTCTAACAAGATTGTTCAAATTATAGCCGAGGGGTCAAAATTGGCCCCGCCCCGGGGGTCATTGATTTTCACTATGTACATATAGTAAAAACTTAAAATACCTTCTTTTTAAAACCCAAAAGGCTTAGAGCTTAGATATTTTGCATATGGCATTGTCTGGTAGACCTCTACCCAGATTGTTCAAATTATAGCCCTGGGGTCAAAATCTGGCCCGCCCCAGGGGTCATTGGTTTTCCTTATATGTATATAGTAAAAACTTAAAAAAAATTCTTCTAGCAATTGACAAATGCTAGAGGTTAGATATTTTGCATGAAACATTGTGTTGTAAAACTCGAGCAAGATTGTTCAAATTATAGCCCTGGGGTCAAAATTGCCCCCGCCCTGGGGGTCATTGATTTCAATATATACATATAGTAAAAAATAAAAAAATCTTATTGTCTGAAGGTACAAGGCTTAGAGCTTTAATATTTGTTAAATAATATCATCTAAAGGTACTCTACCAAAGTTGTTCAAATTTTGCCTCTTGTGTCAAAATTAGCCCCGCCCCTGGGAGCCAGAGGTTTATCTTATATGTATATAGTTAAAACTTAAAAAATCATCTTCTCTAAATTTACAAAGGATAGAGTTAAGATATTTTGCATGAAACATTGTGTAGTGAACCTCTAGCAAGATTGTTCAAATTATAGCCCTGGGGTCAAAATTGGTTCCGCCCCGGGGGTCATTGATTTTCATTATGTACATACATATAGTGAAAAAAAATTGTCTGAAGGTTCAAGGCATAGAGCTTTGATGTTTGATATATAATATCATCTGTAGGTCCTCTACCAAAGTTGTTCAAATGTCAAAAATTGGCCCTGCCCGGGGGCAGTGCTTCTCATTATGTACACGTAGTAAAAACAGAAAATAAAACAAATGTTTTCTGAATGGGAGAAAGCTATAGCTTAGATATTTGACTTGAAATGTTGTTTGGTGGACCTGTATCAAAATTGTTATTAAACCCTTGGGTCAAAATTATGCCTTGCCCAAGGGAACAGTGACCTACTTTCTTGTCCTTTGATGTACAACAATGACATTTTGACCATGTGCACAGTTTTAGTTGTAAAATAGAACTTTGACCTAGATTTTGATGATGTGACCTACTTTCTTGTCCTTTGATGTACAGCTATGAAATTTGAACCATGCGGTGGCATAGCATTTTTCTCAAATGCAATCTTGTTTTTCATATTTTATTTGATAAGTCCAATGTTTATTGTAAGCGCTGGCGGAGACAGGTACAATATCTAGCGAACGTATTCCTACTTCAATAATGTTGAATCACCCTTAGGATATGTTGCCTGCTTTTTAAATTTGTCTTTTGACGTCTTATCTGTGATACGCAGGCTTCATAACCTCTGATCCCCTTTCAAAATTCCATTTTATTTAGTTCCGCCCATTGTTTTCTCGTTTAGGGCACACGCTTTTTATTACTTGGGGACCATACGCCGCTTTTCATGGAATGGCACGGAAGTGTCACATTGAAGGTTCCATGATAACCGCCGTATGAACACATCGTTCTGCGGATGTTTCTAAATTCAAAATTTATTTACTATTTCATGTGTAAATGTTGAATTCTGCTTGGGGGCGTGGACGGTAACTTGCACTTTCCAGTACTGTCCATGAACAGGCTCAATCAAACCGAGCCTGCAACATTTTCAATTATGCCGTGTTGGGCTTTCTTTAGAGATTTTATCTATTTTCTGGAAAAGATGCGAAGTTTTTTTTAAATAGTAACATTAATTATTGTAAAATACATTAACAGTTTTATGTTGAGATAGACAAAAAAGTAGCATAGTTCAGATTTTGTTGTAAAAGTTAATAATCTCATTCTGTAATTCTATCAGTTAATAAATTTGTTTACATTTATACTAGCAGCAGGGTTCCCACAGTAATTGTTAAGGATGAATTATATATGTAACTTGTTAATTTGTAAGTATGTTTGAATTGTTTGAATGTTGTTTTATTTGTTATTATTGAAAGCATACATGTTCACATGTTCATACTTTCAGATAACCGCTATATACATGATATACGCTATATACTCCTAAGGCTATGTGTTGTTTCTGGAATAAAGGTGGAAATATAGCACGTGCATTACATCTTTTTGTTGTCCAAACTTAGTGAAGCTGCCCATTACGGCTGTGTCGTAGTGTCTTTGTAATTTGATGAACAGTTGAAGTGAACACCCGTATTAACGTGTTCTCTCTGCCACCAACGTAATCAACAGTGGTTAATTACATTTATTGAACACTGTTCTACAGTTAACGAACAGCAGAAGTTGTTCGACAGTTATTGAACATCCGCTGTTCTACAGTAAGAAATAAATCAATGTATTTTGCACAGGTTTTACTGTTTCGTGCCTGGCTAGCATATTCAGCCGGAACTGGATTAAATATAGCCGGAGTAGCCGAAACAGCCGGACTAGATAAAATTGGCTGTTCCGGCTCTCTGGCTAACTTCACGAATAAATACATGAGTATATCAAACTTTTCATTAAATGTGAATGTATCTGGTGTTAAGAAACAAGAATGTATACCTAAAGAACCGACCCACCTAAATGTCTTTTCATAAACGTGAATATCTGACAGATTTATGGTGGCTGACTTGGTATGTATCTGTGCGTCTAGTTGGCGCTAGCGACAACACAACATTGCCGGACTTTCGTTTTGTCGTCGTGTCGCTTACGATACACGTCAAACGGCGCGTTGTCGTGCGGTGTGTTGTCGCGATGTCACATTGTCGCTCGGTTCAAATCAAAGAATTGGCTTACGCTCCGCACGTCAACGCGCCGTTTGGCTTGCTTTGCAAGAGACAAGACAACAGTGCGACAACGCGCCGTTTGAAACCTCGACGTGTTGTCGCTAGCAACAGGACGACAAGATGTAAGTCCCACAATTCGCCGTTTGGCGCTTTGTCGTGTTGCCGATAGCGCAAACTAGACGTACAAAAGCGTACTAAATCAGCCACCATACAGATTAGATACATACATGTACATCCTGGTTGAGCCATTTATTGTAACAGGGAAACCCATTATAACTTAACTAAAGGCATACGGTGTTTTCTTGTAAGTTTTTTAACGTAAGTGTATAAACTTAAGTCTGTTTAGGATAATTATTTAGTGACGCGGCGGTCATGTCCACTGTTACAGTGTAAAAAAGTTATCATATTATGTTTATTATCTTATATCACACAGGCATGCTATATAAATCAAGATATTGACAAATTGATCAACTGTCAGCGTAACACAGTAGGTAACGTTGTCAGTTAATTTTCTAGCTTGTACTTTTTTTTCTCAAAAATAATTTCTATATATAAACAATAAAATATGAATCTAGACGTAAATAAGCGTTAAGTGTTGTCACAGTGTTAATTTCTATTAACTTCTCATATCACATTTTTTATTTCCAAAAGTAATATCTAGCAAGTTGGTACAACCTTACCGAATACTAAACTGAATGAATACATGTACACAAATTGTTTGAACAATAGTTCAGTTGGCACAAAATGCTCGTGCACTGCACAAGTACTATTACTGCATACTTCACACTACAATTCACACTACACAGGATAAAAATATAATTACCGGTATATTTAAATTATTAGATATTTTAATAAAACTATCTTTATTGTCCAATCCATTTGCATCTTCTGTAAAATAGCAAAAAAAGGGAAACAAAAAGAAAGAAAAGATAAACAACTTGTGAGACTCGAACTCGTAAAAAACATTAATTTGCATTGCATCCCAATGACTTTACCATCTTTGCCATCAAGACATTTAAAATTCTGATTATTTATCTTGTACTTTATCCGCTTGTAAAACACCTGTTTTGCCTATTCAGATAAAGACTTTTGTGTTCACAAAAATGCAACGTCACTCTCACATTATCATAGGGGCACAGTAAGAATACTTAAGACATGAAAAATACATATTTACATAGATCTGATAATAATGATTAATATTGTCACCGATTTATTCGCCTTTTATTGATGATATTTATCACGTGACCAATTCATCGGTAAACACTTCACAGGCTATTCTTATCAGTAGTTTTTCGGGTGCTTATCTCACTGTATAAATCAAATGTGAACAATCGCAACTACTCGGCCCTTTCCGTCAGTCTTCGGATAAGGACCTCGAACACTATAGTATGAATACACAGAACGGATGCGGTATTCCGGTCTAACCTTCGCTTAGAAACTAAACATGTAAACAAATAGTAATTTAATGCTTGGAGTTGTTGACAAGTTTATTTCTAATATATGTAGCTTAAGTCCACCTAAAATAAGTGAATTCATAGGTACAAAAGCAAACAATACATTATTTATATATTTACTAATATGGCTGGAGAAACCGAAAGTACAAAAAACCAACCTGTTGACATTTAGTCGGATTTGTTTAAAATTGAACATCAGTGGGCATTTTTAAATTACAAATTGTTGTCAGACATATTTTCAAGCAGAAGAGCATTATATGTCATATATATACATTCGTTTTACATTATCTCTGTTTCTGTTTACATCTGTAAACCACGTGGTAGAACTACTTTCAATCCGTATTGTTTCCGAGGTTATTATAGATAATAGCCGAGGCAGTTCCGAATGCAAATGTGAAATGTTCTGACATACGTTAGGTTTAACAGTTGATTTAAATTGGTGTCAAAAGATGTATTAAAGTATATATTGAAACAAAGCTAAGATCCCAAGCTTTCCATTGATGTAATAATTTTTAAAATCGGACATTTATTCCTTTTAAAAAGGGCTTAATTCGTAAGATATATCGATTTTACTTGAAGATAACGGAAGCAAAACGCATTTTTAAATGGATATACCTCGGTTATTTACGTAGTTCATAACAAAAGTGTTTATGGGTGTATTTGTTTGGATTTATTAGATTGGTACCAGTTTATCTTTCCAAATTTTGATATACTGCAGGTAAGTCAAAATGTTATGATTTAGATTAAATCGTTTTTCTGTCTTTTTAATCAATTTTATTAGGGGACGTTATGTGCAAAGCTCTTCCGTCATTTAATGTGTTAAAACGTTGTATAGCATTTGTAGGCAGTCCGAATCACAGCATTTGATTTCTTGTAGTTGAAAAGTAAAATTATATATTACTATTATATCCTTGGGCAGTAAAATCAATTTATGCGAGTTGAAAAAATCAGCACCCGTGTATAAGGAACTATATGATTTTGGTCATGTTAAAGTAGACTACTTGTATAAACGAAGGCCTTATTTTTCAATGATCATTTTTTATAGTTCCTGTATAATGTTATGAAATAATTAATTCAAAATTTTCATGTTTGTTTCTATTTTGTGTATCTGCATTTAATGTCACGATTTATAAAAATAATAAAAAATAATAGAATAATTAAAAAGTTTAGGCAAAACTACTCTTAGTATATCCAGAAAAACGCTTTTGTGATTCTAATGGACAACATTAACCGTATAGTACCTGTGAACCTTTTATAGTAAAACATGTGGCTTGCACACATTATTTTGCATAATGTCATGTTCGATTTTTTTATCCAATATATTCAAATATAGTTAAAATTAAATGTTGGGAATTCAATCAAATAACTGATTCGAAATTATTATGTCTTGATAATAACATAATTAAGACATGATAGTAATACTTATAAATAAACATGTAATAATAAAGAAAATAATAATGACGATGATAATAAGTAATGAAGAAGAAGATAATTATAATAATTATTATTATGATAATAATAGAACAGTACAGAACAGAAACTTTATTTCATGGTTAAAGCATTAAAAGATTATCACCATATTACATAATTAAACAAATACAACATATACATAAATGACACATGACATGAACATATATAATTGCAAAATATGATTTATGTAATGTGATAATGTTTTATGAGATAAGAAATTTTTAAAAAGCATATGTATACATGTATATAATACACAAGAATTTGTCTATCTTAACCTAACATAATCAAATTAAGCTACAATATATTTTTCTGTTATGTTTGAGAAATTCGTAATGCCTATCAATAGAATCCACAAAAAAGAAAGCTTGCAGTTTTAATTGTGACAAATTTTTTAATGAATGGAAAAAACTTATGAACTTTACATAACCAGTATTTTAACATTTACTTCCCCTTCATTATTCATGATCAATATTAATAAAATTCATTTCTGTGTGATGAATGAATACGTTTACATATTTTGTACGTTTTTATATAAAGTAAATCCACACAAAACCGACAAAAAAGCAAAACAAACAAAACTCAACTTTATTATAAAGATGATTTTTGTCAAAACATTTTATCATGGTATATATCAGATATATTTAATTTGAGAAGATACAAATATAAATAAATAAATTAAAAGTATATGTATATATGTACAATTTCTTTTTCACATATAACTTAACAAATCTACATGATGAATACATACTGCGCATTTAACAGTTACAATAATACTTTTTTCATTTTTCTTTAAACAACAGAAAAAAAAAACAGAGAAAGAGAGCAAAGCTTACATGTCAGTATATTTTAACAAACTATCCCTCAATTTAAAAGCTTTATAATAGAATATAGCTAAACTGTTCAGTTCCTTCTTGCGACCAGTTTGCATTAATTAAATGAATTTAAACATACTTGTGTTGTAAAACAATAGTATTTTATACAATGTAATAATATAATATTATATATATAATAATGTATTGCTTGCTTCACTCAGAAAATCGGACATTTAAGGATAAAGTGAAATTCATCTTCTATATCATTCATATAACAAAAAGTGAGCTTTCGTTTATTCCTTGGTACATTATTATGTCTTCCTAACTTGATATTAAGTTTGTGTGAGGACAGTCTAATTTTAGCTAAATAATTTCATATTTAACATTTTCAATATATTTTATATATAACGATTGTTCAAATGTGATCTTATATTCCCTATATATAATATATCTAACAATGATGAGGATTGAATAACATCATTCCAACAACATATATAAATATCACGTAATCTATTCCTAGAAATAGGTACAAATAGCTTTATATTTACAGAATCGAGATAAAATCAGGCTTCATTAAATCCTGCTGACTGAAGAATGTTTTTAACTTTTGAAGCCTAGTTTGTTGAACAATTTACCACATCAACATCATATATAGTCTGATTTTATTGACCTGTCAATTATGAATACATTATAGCACTCATTTAAATATTCGATCCCACTTCGGTTTGTTCCGTGTAGTTTACGAGAATTAATGTGGAGTATATTGGTCATGTTTTGAAAGTCATGCAACCTTAATGTGGAGGCTTTCGTTAATTTACGATAGCACAGTGGGTAAAGAGAATGCCTGATAATTGAGAGGTCTGTGGTTCGATCCTTACTGATGACATTGTTTTAGGCCTACTCTTTCTTTATTTTTGCAGTATAATTAATAATTAATGGAACCGATTTGTAGTGTGTTTTACGGCATTGAAATGACAATTATTGATATTAATCCGTTTTAATTTTAAGCAGGAATTATTTGAACATGTTAAAAATTTAAAATTTAAAAATAGTATAGACTTTTTTAAGTAAAACATAATAAAAGAAAATGAACATAAAATAATAATCGCATACAGCTTCAATAATGTTGAAAGTAAAAAAAAGTAAAGAAAAAAACATGGACCAACGCGGTCTCGAACTTAAAACACGTATGGCACTTAGATTATAAACTCATGCTTTACCCTATTGCGCTATGACGCTCAGTACACTTAGTTCATTCATACAAATTAAATTAAATACCATCGTAAAGCGTACATCTCACGGAACTTACCGAAAATCTACCGAAGATTAATATATTGTGTGCATCGACCGTGTAATCAGTATGTATTTGACAGGTTAATAAAACCAAACAATATCTGGTTACACAATATTGTTCTCAATATACAATTATCTTTTTTTACCTGTATTTAACTTAAGAAAAAAATTCATCATACAAATATGCCTTTCAATGTAAAGAAAAACTCTCCCCAATTCTACATATAATGCCGGAGTATTTGTTGACTGTTTAACATTTAAAATAAACCTACCAATTTTTATGTACCCGTTCTGCATTCATAAACCCCCATACTTCACAGCAATATTTTACAAATAAAACATAGGCGTCAAAGATATTAAACATAATGTTAACTGGTACTTTGTAGTCACGTAACAATGAATATAATGATCTGAGCCCTTTGCCAGCTAACGTTTTTGTAGCTTGCATGAATGACCCTCACTCGGGAATACCACAACTAAGTAGTTAAATGAATTTACAACCTCGATTTCTTGCTTATTATAAAACCACTTATCTATATTACCAAGTCTACCACCTTTTCTGAATACAATTATTTTTGTCTTTTCAACATTTACCGTTAAATGTCAACAATTCGACAATAAACAATCAAGTGACTTCTGCAAACCGGACCTAGATTCTGAAATGATGGCGGTATCGTCAGCAAATAACAATAAATAACTTGATATTTGGTCGATATTAAGACCAAGTCAATATTTTCTTGCAGATGTAATTCTATATCATACAAGAACAGGGAGAAAAATAATGGAGAAGTGATCTCCCCTTGGAATACACCCATGTTACTATTAAAGCCATCAGATAACATTCCCAGATGTTTAACACACAATTTCACCTCATTATACATTGATCTTATAATTAACAGGAATTTGCCGTTAGTACCTAATTTTAAAAGTTTTTACCATAACCTTGTCCTATCAATACAGTCATATGCTTTTCTATAATCAACGAAACGACAGTACAATTTCTTTTTGTTTTCTATTTGCCTTTGTATCTGTGAATGCAAGATAAAAATAGGATCATATTGAAACAAAACTGGGCATTCGACAATACACAGTTGTCTTCAGCCCATGATTTAAGTCTTTCATTTAATATAATTGTAAACAAGTTAGAAAAACAGCTAGTAAGTGTTATTCCTCTATAATTGTTGGGATCTGAAATATTTCCCTTCTTATGCAAGGGAATAATTACACCTGGGAAATTTCTTCTTATCTAGTATATGGTTAAAGAACAAATTTAAACGATGAATTATTTGAGGGACAGATACTTTAAAATATTTACAGAGGATATTGTCTAATGAGGGCGTTTTGTTTGCTCCTAGCTGCTTGATAGCTTTCAAGATTTCCTCTTTTGTGATACGTTCATCTAGCGTCTCAAATGTGCTACTGTCATATATCCCCTCACCTAAATTATTGATTAAATCGTCATAGTCATAATTTTCTACTTCCTCGCTCTCCCCTGACATTAAATTGCAAAAAAATTCTTTAAAATCACTAACTGAAATATCTTTCCCACAAGCAGTAGCATTTGTAGTTTTGAATATTTTCCAAAATTCCCTTGGTGATTACCCGAGGCGTATTTATTTTATTACCCCGAACAAATACTGTGATGATCTGAATTTGTAAACTAAATCTAACTGTTACAAAAATAAACAAAGAGTAGCAATAATTAAACTGTCCTTACCTTGCAAGTTTTAAGTGTATAGTGGGCCTACTTGAGATGCTGTTTTTTTTAATTCTGTAAGTAAGTGATGATATCTACCAGTCGTAAACATACAATAAGATGTGTTTTATTTACGAAAAGAATACACTAACCCATTTATAAGGTTATGATCTGTGAAATGTGACCCTTTTGTATCCAGAATATTCTTCGCATGGTTTTTGACAAAGTGCATTCACAAATTAACGATGATATCCTAAAGATGTCTGTCCACCAACTCTATCTATAACGTTTTACTGGTAAATATTGATTAATCCTTAGTTGCATGCTTAAATCTTCTGCATGTTCCAGTTTGACACAAAATTATTCACATTACAATAACTTCCGTTGAAAACGGATGTTTACTTTTTGACTATTCAACAAAAAGATATTTTATACGCGAAAATACAC